ATTCACAGTGAAAAAAAGCAGTGTGGAATGAGCCCACTCACCTTAATAAGAGGGTTGATGACACCGACATTGGCACTGGAGTTAAAGACCTTGTTGAATCCCGTCTCTCGGTTGACCAACTCCAGCTGGTAGAACTTCTTGTCATCCTATATAAAAAAAACGACAACATGCTGCAGTCAAACTCCACCCCAATCAAAACACACTCCACTATTCTTCTGTCTGTTTGCCAACACACATTTTTAATAGTCACAGTTTCATAAAGTTTGCATTCCCTCAGTATTTTCAACTAAAACTAAACCCAATCAATAATTTCTTGATTCACTGTCCTGCATTCGAAGGATAAGCAAGCGCACATACACAATCCTGTTTACACACATGGATTCATAATTTAAAGAATAACAAAGTGAATTGTGGATCAGCATCTTGAAAAAAAGTCTACTGAGATCCCGACTGACACGCAGCAGAACCACAAAGCGTGGTCCCACATTAAGACTTCATGAAGTTATCAGCAGCATGCTGCAAAGTCCTCCACAGTGCCTCGAAGGGCCACGCACAAGGAGTGAGAGTGAAGAAGTAGAGACTTCACTCAAACCGAGTTCTGCTTATCAACATTTAACTGCATCTCGGGATCTTTATCAAATCCCAAAGACGCAGCTTGCTCGCTAACTTTTCTTCCTAAGTAACAACATCTGCTGGTTGAGACTCTTACATGCAGTCAGAGGAAGGAACTTTCAAAGAAATACATTTTTAACCCTGAGAACTGTTGAATGTTTTATTTAGACTTTCTCACGAACTGCATGTCTATTTTTCACTTTACTCCTCAGAGACTATCCCATGCCAAGATCTGGACCCATGGACCCCCGCGTCTACTCACCACCAGCTTTTTGACCAGAGCTTCCCTTTCAGTCACCATCTCTCTGAGCTCTGCGATCACATGCAGGTCTTCTGGTCGGCTTTCTCTGTTTCTTAACTTCTCCTCTGTGCCCTCCAACCTGGACGCATCCAGGAAACATTAAGAGTTGAGCAAACAGGAACAAAGTGTGGCACCAGAGAGACAAAAGGAAGCCAAAACAGAGACAACTTTGATCTATGTTGAAACAGTAGCAGCCCAAAAGAGCCACAGAAGAGGTTTCATCACACGGCTTTATGTCTTACAGTATTTGTAGAGCAGAAATCTTGTCTTTGAGGACCTCCTGGGCCTTGTTGAAGTCAGCCAGCATGATTTGTGTTTCTCTCTGATGGATTGCATTGAGCTCCCCCATCTCTCGCTCGTGTCTCTTTGCAAGGTCTTGTTCATGAGCTCTGCAGCAAAGACAGAAGTCATAAATGAATAAATCATTAGGCGAACTTTTCTGCTAGATGCATATTTCCTAAAGTGCCACCAAGTATCACAAGTTTACACTTAAATAATAATCACTTAGGGACTTTTCCTCTGCCTCTACACCAGTACATTTAATTTCCCGGAAGGTGGACCTGTGACATTGACATCGCATTTCAGTAAATTATAGAGGCCGACAGCAAGATGTGCAGCTGCAAAGTGAACTCTGCTGGGACACAAAGCACAGCTGGTACAGAGAGCATCCGGTCCCTCAGTGCTTACTGTGTCAATGTCAGAGTGTTAATTTATGTGTCTGCAATCTAAGTTAAAGAACGTAATGAAGAGTGTGCTTCATTTACATATGGGGACCCTTAGAATTAAACTTTAAGAAATGTGAAGTAGCAGGGCCAGGGTTACTGGCACAGGCTGCCAAAGCTTGCACGACTAGCGGACGAACATCCGTCTTTAATGGCTGTGGATTTGCTTTCACATTTTCTTTTTAGCATCACTCATTAACCCTTTAAGACCTACCATA